CTGCTAATTATGCTGGTGGAGAACATTAGTCCTTTCCTTTTTCTTTTTTTTTTCCTTTTTTGTTTTCTTTTTAACTGTAGTATACTTATCCTTTTAAAAAAATTGAAATTAATAGCTTTATAGCTTTTTTTTTTAATGAATATCTTTTCTTTTTCCAGGTCTTAGGTGTGAGAGTTGCAATTTTGGATTTAAAGCTCTCAGATATTCTAATGAAGATGGATGTGAGCCTTGTTGGTGCAACAGCCACGGCTCGGTGAACCAATTCTGCAACCCTCTCTCTGGGCAGTGCAATTGTAAAGAACGAGTGAAGGGGCTTCACTGTGACACCTGCATGGACAACTTTTATGGGCTGGATGTAACTGGTTGTAAGGCTTGTGAATGTGATGTTGCAGGGTCATTTTTTGGATCTGTGTGCAATGCAAAGACAGGGCAATGTGCGTGTAAACCAAATATTGGAGGAAGGCAATGTGACGAGTGCCTAGATGGCTACCACAAAGTACAGAAAAATAATTCCTTTATTTGTCTGCCGTGTAAGTGTGATAAGGCGGGTACAGTAAATGGCTCTCTGCTTTGTGACAAATCAACAGGACAATGTCCTTGCAAAGCTGGTGTAACTGGTCTTCAGTGCCGTCAGTGCATGCCTCGTACATACAACCTCAGCATGAGCAACCTCCGTGGCTGCCAGCGTTGTGACTGTGACACTCTGGGCACAATGGCAGGAACAGTTTGTGACCATGTTACTGGACAATGTGTCTGTTTGCCTCACCGTCAGGGGAGAAGATGTGATGAGTGTAAACCAGGTAAGGAAATTGTATTTGATGTAGTGAGTTCTGCTTTGTTGGATGTTGTTATAATTCCTACTGTTTTTAGAATGTGTTTAAACAGCTTCACACCTAATATGTCTCTGACTTATGTTATTAATTATTTTTCCATTTCTTCCTAACTCTGTGAGAAGGAAGTATTAACATCCTAATTTCTGTCAAATATTTATTCTATTGCCAGAGGTTGTATAATTTGTGTTATTACTGCAGTTTCAATGTATTGAAAATAAGGTTAGGCCTAGTTCTTCTAGATATTGAGAAATTACACAAATTGTCATGGCCTGTTCACTGAGTAAGAGGTAATAGCATAATTTGATGATCAGCAGCTACCCTCATAATAAAAAATGTGGATTTGGAAGGCAGGGTGCAAAGCTTTTCAGGGAGGGCATTTCATGCGTAATGCTGAGTATGGTGGGAGGTACAGAGATGGTTACATAAACTTTGATGAGACTGGCAACCATGCCACTTAAAAAGCATTCACCTGCCTTGTTGTGTTGAGGATGTGCTGGCTTTCTGAAGGACTGCATACAGTTTAGCCCTACAAGTAGATGATATTGCAGCTGCTACATATCAGTTCAAGATTTCGTACCATATTACTGTAAACAGATTTAATTGTTCACTGTAAGTGGGAAGCTCTGTAGTTACATCTTGATGTTTTTGTTCTAAAAAGCAGGTAGGTGAAGTGAAACTATAGGTAATATTAACCTACCTTTAGTAATAATATTAAACAGATAGATTTAGTTCAAGTTAAATACATATGCAATTTATTAAAGTAGCAGGTCACATTAAAAGGTACACTATAGCTCCATTGGTTTTAATATGCCATTCAATAATTTGAACAGGGGTTAAAAAAGCTGCTTAACCTCCATTAAGTATTTTTAAAAATACTTTCATTTAAATTATTTTAGGTGCATATACTAATAAATAAGGCAGCATTCTGTTTTTCTTAGTTCCTCCTCCAGTGCTATGTGACCTGCTAACCCTCTACAGCAGCCACTTAATCAGAGATCGGCAGAGGAGTAATGTCAAGGCTTCTCGAGTCAGTGACCGCCCTTGTCCTTGAAAGAGAAAGGCCAGGGTTTATGCAGAACTAAATGGTTTAAAAAGGTTTAATTGATAGTATGAACAGACTGCTTTGTAGAAAAGCTTACATGGCACTCAAAGAAATATTTCCACAATAGTTCCTGTTAATTTTTTTTTTCCTAAGTGATAAGTATAAGCATGTATGTGCTGAGCACTGAGCTCTCTTCTGCGGGTGGTAGTGTAAGTCCATACAATTTTAAGAGCACTGTATTACTCTTAGTGTAGCACAGCATACTACTGTTTTTTCACTGATATTTTAGTGTTCATCTCAGTGTGAGCTCACTTAGACATTCAATATATCTAACGTTATATAAATATTCTTTGTTAGTATGTTCTAAAGGAGAGTTTTCTATAAAACAGGTGTGAGTATAACCTGCTAGTAATACTGGTGTTAAATTGTAGAACTATGGAAGAGCTTAATTGGTTTCAAGTAATCTAAACATGTCCTGTGGCTTTGCCTTGGGACAAAGATAAGAAAAAGTACTCAAGTATATATGTGGCCAACACAGCCTAATTAAAAGTACACAATTAATTAGTTAACACTGGCAGCCCTAAACACATACTGAGGACTTGTGAGGTTGCTGGGATGTTTTAACTCTGTGGCCTGAGTTTCCGTAGTGGAATACAGATAATATGTCTTTTAATTTATTTATTTATTTTTAATTATGTATAATTCTAACATGAAACTAAATGAAAGAGCAATTTTACCTCATATGTAAACTTGCTTTTGAGATGTCCTAGGTCACAGTCTTAGAAAACGGATCTTTCTAGCCCTTAGATAGGTGTGAAAAGTTTGTCCCTGCCTCATTCTGGGACTGTGGTGCCACTCTGACTGGGATTTGTGTCATACAGATCGTGTTCAGCACAGGTCTTGGATCCTGCTATGAAAGCAGAAAAAAATGGAGGAAAAAAACCAACCAAAACACCACCAAAAAAACCCCAACCCAAAACCAAAAACATTTTGTTAGTTCTTTACTCAGTGACCACAGCTTTTCATGGAATGTTATGTAGTACGGAAAAGGTGTAAACCACCATGTAGGATGTGTGGCAGGGCACCAATACTGAATTTTGTTGTATGTACTATATCTCTTCTTGGCCAGAAAAAAAGTGAAGTATGTTGTGACAACATTATCAGTGTTGTTAACTCCGCATTTTGAAGCACAGACTGTGATTAAGAAATAAGCATTACTGCCATGGTTGGTAAGCATATAAAAGTGCTAAAGAATTGTTTGGGTGTTCCTTTTCCATGAGCTATACAGTGGGAGAAATAGTGAGAGTATGATTAAATAAGGAAGATGAGTACTTTGCTATGACTTTCATTCTTCCTTTTGAAGAGTATGTTTGATTGACAAATGTGATCAGTTATGGCTGAATTGGAAAAAAACCTGTAAAAGAATAAGCATAATACTAGTTATATACATAGATCTTGTAGAGATTTGCAGTGGCTGTCTTAAAATTGGAAATTGGCTCTATTATACAACAGTGGATCCTTCATAAAGCAATTTTTATGAGCTCTTCTAACCTTGCTGTAAATTAAGCTTGCATTAAGTTGTTTCTTACTCTTTCCTGCCAAATTTCTAGGTGGTGGAAGTAAATAATAATAATAGTTAGGACAAACAGTATGAATTTGTAATCTGGTGTCTTTTTTTCTTTTTGTCTACTTTTATCATGTTAATTTACTTATAAATTAGTTGGGGAAGGACTGTCTCCGTTTTCCTATCCCTCACTTTTACTTTTAAAAACATTTTTATTCTTACTTGCTACTTACAGAAAAATAAGTGGTAATTTCCAGAAACTTAGTTAAACTTTTAGAGTATTTGTAAAATATTATTATTAAAAAAATAAATAATTTCAAATCTATCACTGCTCTACAGTGGTTTAGGTGGTATTATATTAGGAGAGCCAGGATGTTTAACATTAAGGTATAGATTCTTTGAAATTATGAGTTTCACTGCTGTGACAAAAACAATATATGATATAGTCATCAACCCTGCTCACCTAAAATGAATTTCTAGAGATGTGCCTATTTATCCACTATAGTCTTTTCTTATACACTATTTTCATGCAAAATTCCAGATGGAAGAAGACTTGTTTTAGCCTGAGTGCTTTTCATTTACTGCAACTGTAAACTGGGTCCTGAAGAAGTGCTTTGACCTTCTGCAAGAGTCCAGGCTTAAACTTGTTTCCTATCTTCCTGTTATGTTCTTTGAGAGAAGTCGTTCATTGTGCTCAAGAGTGACATTGCTGGGAAATGGTCTCCTCTATTTATGCACAGGATGGGCACTGTTGTGTGCAGACAACTGCAGTATGAGATAATACATGCTGCCTCACTAATAACTTCCAGTTATTCACTCTCTGTGGTGGCTCAGATCGGGGCCTCTCTGGAATTAAGTGCCAACAGCATGTTTTTTTATGATGTGAATGTATGTTAACTGGAGACTGATATCACTTCTCTGTCCACTTGAGATTTATCTCACTGAGGACCAGCAGCTAAACTTGAACAAAGATTCCAGCAGTAAAATTCCAATGTTTTCAATTTGTTTAGTTCCTCTGCTATTTGGATATGAGCTCACAGTGCAACACTGCAGTGAAAACAGAGAATACCACCCTAGGGGTGTATATATAAAGCTCTCTCTCGTAAGACAAAATAAATAATAAGGCCTTGAGTGATATGACATGTTACAGTCCAATTTTGGGCTCTTTATTATAAAGCAGGACATCAGAAAGTTGTTGGACAGCAAAAAAGGTTGGGTAACTGAGAACATGACTAAGAAGATTGAACCGGAAAGAGAGGGAAGGTATCTGAGAAATCTGTGCAAATACTGCATATCTGAGTAACGGCTGAAATTATTTAATTGAAGTTGTGCAATAATAGTTAATAGTAACCAGCTGACAGCGATACAAATTCCTATCAATGACCCTATCTTAGAGTTGATGTTCAACTTGCAGTTGACAAGTGTCCCTTAATACTCTGTGACCATCATCATTTGCAGAACTTGTACACATTGCTACATTTTTAATCAACTGTGCTGGTCCAAAGGGGAAAACAAAACAAAACAAAAAAACCATAACCATTTACATGAAAACCCCAGTGAAATGTCTGTTAATAATAGGTAAAAGTATAAAATAATTTTGGAAAATTATGTCATTATATTTCTTACTGATATTCCCTTATTTCAATTGTCTTCTGATCAGACATACAGAAAAGAAAGTAGTAAGAATGGAAGAAGCTCACAGTTAGCACAACAGGTTTTGCAAGTAGCACAGCATAATTTTAAAAAATGTGCTTAAAAGCTCTTTTGCTTGTAATTTCAGGCAAGGCTGTGAATAATGGGCAAGTTCTTCAGTGACCAGATTAGAGGTGTACAAACTTTATCTAGCTGTATTTATCAGTAATGGTTTAGAGACTTGCATAGATAAAGATTGCTTGTGAGGTCAACAGGATGAAAGATAGTATTGCAGAAGCATACCAAATATACTGTGGGGAAGGTGAAGTGAATGCTCCAGTTCATAATTGGAAATAATACAGAAACAGAAGGATGGGATACAGAATGAAGACTTTTTAATTGCAGATAGGTAACTTTTTTCAACGGTTTATTAGTTTCTATAAAAATATTTGTGTAGGATGAAAGCTATATGTTGAAAAGCAGTAAAATATAAATTTTACCTAGACCCTAGAATGATAATTTAATGTAGGTTTTCCTAAGAAACATCCTCTTGTTTCAATGATTAAGCCAACCACTGTTTGAGAAACCTTTAGAGACTTTTAGGAGAAAATATTTGCATTTCTTGTGTTTTGTGAATGGCCATTTTCAGATATAAGATCCCAGACTGGAATGGACAAATGTCTGTTCCTGGAGGTTATTTTATATGTTCCTACTGCTTCTGGTACATTCATTAGTACCTCTCAGTCCTTGGGTCTTTACTTTCCCCACAAACACATTAACATAGTCCCCCTATTTTGCATTTGCTCTGTCTAAAATAAAGTCTGTAGAGAGAGAATAAAAAATCAGAGTTGGCAACTGAAGGATGAATAATAGCTTTACAAAGTGCCAATGAGAAGATTTAGTATCTCAGCTCTGCAGAAGGACTCTATTGCTTTATTTGAGTTGATGTGTCTGTTACCTAAGCTTTAGTTCTGTTGTTTCATCCTCGATTATACACAAGTTAATAAAAAGCTTACTCTGTTCACTTTTTGCACATTGCCTATTCTCAAAATTCCTTTCTTTCCCAGGTTTTTATTTTTCTCCATCCAGTGTCACTGGCTGTCTGCCATGCCTGTGCCACACAGCTGGTTCAGTGAATCAGACCTGTAATAAACTAACTGGCCAGTGTATTTGCCGAGATGCCTCTGTAACAGGACAGACATGTGATCATTGCAAAGAACTTTATTTTGGATTTGACTCTGTCACAGGGAGGTGAGTGTTGCTTTTTTTACAGGTTGCTTATAACATCCTCGTGACATTTTTCTTACAGTGGAAGGTTGCAGTGACAATGAAAATATGTGCTCAAGTTACATTAATCGTTCTCTAAGTTCATGTGTGCACTCTGATTTATGTGTGGCACATTGTGTAACCCTCTGTGCTCCCGTGAGCTGAAGGAAATAGAAGTTTTGCCACAGACTTAAGTAGAAACAATATGAAAGCTATATACAGCAAATACTATCTAATGTTATAGCATAGCTATACAGTAATTGTATATTATATATAGTATACTATATACTATATTATATTATGTTATATATAATATATTATGTGTAGCAATGTATATATAGTAATATATAGTAATTGTTTCTCTACGTTTCCTCTGCATCTTCAGTAAGATGTGTTGGTGTCTGAGGTGTTAATCATTGACTACTATAATATGGGTAATATGCCATTATTATAACCAGTGAATGCTATTGAAGATTTCAGGAAGACATTTTAATGAAAAGAAAAAGCAAAAAAATAAATGAATTAGATATCCCTGTCGTTCCAAATTTCTTTTAGTATTAGCAGTTGAAATACTTAGAATACCTTTCCTCTTAAAAAAATCTGTTTTTCTGAAGCAGTATATTCTTTTTCAGCATTTAGTTGTGTGCCACAGGATAAATTGTTTATCTAATGTAGCCTGGGGCCTCTAGGTACGTGGAAAGTATATGGCTATATTCCCTGGAATGTAATTGGAAAAATATATCTATAGGTACTGCATTATTATTCCAACTATTGCTCTATCTTTCTTTTCCAGGATCTTTTTTCTTGCTTAATCCCCACAATCTCGATTTCCTTTTAAATACAGTCTGGAAAGGTTGCACAGCTCTAATGCTATCATATTTTCATGCAGACTGTTGGTGTTAAATTGTTTTGTTATATTTAGTATTTTTGCCTTTAAAAAAAACCCACAGGCAGAAGCAAAATCTGTACAACATTCCCCTCCCTGTGCTCCTTTCCCCCATGTAGACATGCTTTTAGGCAGTGATTTTCAGTATTGTCTTGCATATACTTGACATTATTCTGCAGATTTTTCAATTTAACTTTTATGTTACTGTCACTCATCACAGATTTTTTTAAAGTTGTTTTTTTACTGTTGTGGGTCACAGAGGCATCTGCTAATGGCCATAAAGTAATCTGTAGGAGTAAAGACCTCCTATTTTCACTTCCTGTCATTTCTAATGGTAAGGAATAAGATCTATGTAATACTAAAGTTCCTTTTGCAATATACTTTGCTTATTCTTAATGCTTTTTTTTTTGGTTACTTGGAATAGATGCCCCCTTTTCCCTCCTCAGTTGTAGCAGGTGATTGAGAGGTTTTATGTCTGTGTTAAACACGAGGTCTCCTGAACTAGGTATTGGCCTCCAGTTACTTCCATTTTGAGCTGTCTTCTGAAGTTCAAAGTGTGTATGTATCTAGAATTATCTAGATCCAGATCTTGTAAAGGCAAAGTTTTCACAGTTCTAGAATTTGAATCAGAATTGTCTTTAATGCCTTAATACATCTTATTCCTCATGACAGTATTGAAGGCTGTTCTGGTAGTACATTAACATGGTTAACTTGCATTGTATATGCTTGGCTTCCTTTTGGTTAGCATCTACTCGGGCAATGTACCTCTGTTCCACAGGCAGAAACACTTATCCAATGAAAATGATAATCCAGGTCTTTATTTGTTAATCTACTTTAATCCATTTCTTTAACTGTTAATATCTTCTTAAAAAGAGTAATGTGCTTTTTCTTCCTTTGTAAAGTTACAAAGTCATTTAAAACCTTCTTGCTCCACATACGTTTTGAGGGCTCTGGTTACAGAACAAAAAGCTATCTGGCTGAGTGGCAAAGTCATATCTATCTTGGCACAATAGCAGAAAAGAAGCAAAAATTGTGACACACAGAGACTGCGAGGCTTTAAATTTCTCCCACTTTTGGAGGAAGGTATATGTGAGCTTATTTACTTTCTGATGTTTTTGAGATAACACAGGAACTCTATATTTTTTTAATGTATTTCTGCTTATGAAACAGGAAAATTCCTGTGGCAATTAAAGAATTAGAACTACTGTGTGTCTGCAGTTGTCTGAACAGCTCTGCAATGATTGTGGGCATTGGTACACATTTGGAATGCTTTACCTCTGTATTGTTTACCATAATGAACTGGTCAATGAACATCACAAATTGTTTATCTATATATATATATCTTGACAGATTACTGTTTATGAAATCCATTTAGCAAGTGAGGTTTTCCCATAAGGATGAAAAATGAAGATTTTAAACAGATTGCTGGAGAGGCTCTAACTGCACCTAGAGAGTCAATGTAATAAAGGTTTCTCTATATTAATATTACAAAACCCATTTATCCTCACAAAATCAATATTGCAATTCATCTTGGCCTGACGTTTCTCTTTCCAGGTTTTAAAAGTCTGTTTTCCTTGATTGTATATGATTCTGTTTTAATAAAACTCAAATAAAATATTTGACTCTGAGTATCTTGAAGCAGCATTTAACAAGAATACTGAAAATACCTTACTTAAAAGTTTCAAAGAATATTATTTTTTTAAAAAAAATCTTTAATTGGCTGAATCCTTAATCCTGACTGAAAAGCATGAACTATGCATAACAAAGCCAGTACAAAGGTTACGCAGTTTAAGAAAATGATGTGTGTGATTACACAAATATAAAGTGTAATCCTATGGAACTGTTTGCAGGTTCTGGAGCATAACTGAGTACAGGTGGAGGTAGGAAGCCTACACTTGTCCTAGAAGAAAATGCAACAATTTCAAGCAGAAAGAATCAACCCCACCCTGCCAGGCAGTGAAAACTCTTACTGTGACTGTATGTGTATGTGAGTTTGTCTCATGTGTGAATGATAATGAAAACTGGAATGCTCACAGGGTCCTCATTCATAAGAGGTGCAGTAATATACAGGAGCAGTAAAAGAAGCTTGTCTTTTACTGTTTATCTGTTGAGATACTTTTGTTAACACCCACCCCAAACTATATGTAATAAATATCATCATGCAATGAAATTATGAAGTAATAAGGCACTGTCTTGCTGAGTAAATAATGCTTCCTTCATTTTTTTTCTCTTAACTAAAGCATTTTTTTTCTGTCATGATATTTAAATAGTCTAAACAAAACCTCTATTTGAAGGGGCATTTGGATGCACTGTCTGCAGATGAAAAGACTTAATACAGTTTGGAAAAAATTGCCCTTTTCTCTTGACTATAAAAGAGAGCAAACTACAGTATAGTGGTTTCCAAGAGAGAATGTGTTTTATTTATTCCCAAAAGGATATTAGCCCATAAAACAAATTTGCAGTTTATTTTGCAGCTTTAGCTTTTATCAGCCTTTTTAAGGGTGTTGAGTGATTACCCAGGAGATCACACAGCACAAGCTGTTGTGGAGTAAAGGAACTCTAATACTGAGCGCTGTAATGGGCAGAAAATGTATGTGAAGAGTTTTCTTAAACTTGTTTAAAAATCTGTCACATTTAATGTCTATTTCACTGGTTATTGACCTGAATTTTAGTATCCTAATGTGAAAACAGTTTCTACCCTCCCCTCCTTTCTCCCTTGCCTTAAAAATCCGATACCTAAAACATAACGGAACTCACTTTTATTTCTGCCTTCATGTAGATAGAAAGAGAGAGACCAAGGTGATGGTGATGACTGGGAAAATGGCAAAGTAACTTGTTTAAAGGCACCACCACCTGTTTTCTTGAATCTGGTGAAACTGGCCAAGGAAAGATCTGCCAAATATAAATCAATAACTCTTGTCTAGTCTTAGAGCTAGTAGAGCAGACGGGATATGGCATGACTGTCTCACCCTTGGACTTCTCCAAGGTCTTATTGCTGCTTCATCATCTTGGGACCTGGCTTCTGGAGTAATTTAGAATTCCCTCTAGGTTGATGTTTCTGCCTCAGAATGGGACTTTTCCAGCTCAGGGCCAGGGGAGTGATGTGGAGTTTTTCCAGTATGTTTTAGCTGCACTCTACAGTCCCACATTTCTCCCAGTCTATGTTTTTTCAAAACTTTTTTAGTTTGCAGCATTTAAAACATAGTGAAATTAGAATATAAAGTACAGTTCTTTTATTTGAGTTTGTTGACTTTTTCTGTTATGACTAATAATGGCAATCAGTATTGCAATGGGTAGCATAACAGTATTCGCACTAAGGAAAAAATGGCTTTGTTTAACTTCTGAAATGTTCCAAGTCTTTGAATATTTGCATAATCTGACATTGGTATCCCTGCTATAAATGAATGTCAGTGGGGAAATAGTATATCAAGTGACAAACAAGTTGATCACAAGAGGTTTCACATGCAAAAGCCAAAGCATAAATTAATCCTGAAAGTACTCTATTGATGCTAGAGAGATTTACAGAATTGAATTGTGGAATTTGTGTGATTCCAATGCTTTCAAATTTTTTGCTTTTTTTTATTAAAAATATTTTAATTTACACACTTAATGAAATATTCTTTTTAGCAATTTTGTTCACCAGGCTGCAAAGAAAATGTGCTTTCTGTTATAATATTCACATTTCTGCTATTCTGTTTCCTCTCACTGTTGTAATCTGAGTTTTCTTCCTCCCAGTTTTTGTCTACATTCATTCTCCTTTATTCCCAGCATGTTATTTTTTTCACTTCAAGTTGCCTTTGTGGACAAGAAGTTGACAATTGATTTCTTTTTCAACAAAAGCACAGTTTTCTCTAAGCTGGGAGGTTGTACATTTTGTGCAGAAACCTATGAAATGGTTACACAGGTGTCACTGAGCTCTACAGCTCTGCAAGAAAGGTTGTGTGAGTAAACATTGCAGTACTGAGTGTGTAATTTGGTTATTACCAAACATTATCAATTTTATGTATGGATCAATACATATAAGAGCTCTTTAATTCAAAGCAGTTTATATCTAAATTAGAATATTATTCTGGCATTGAGATTTTAATGTTTATTTTAATAATGGGCACTTTTTTTGTAAGTTACTTATTTTTTTAATCAGGCTAATAGATTTTCTACTGTGTCTCAGGCTACTGAACTCTTTATGATTTTTTAATTATGTTACCCAAGAATCTTTGAAACAAAACCCTACTGTGCTTAACTGGAGTGTTAATGTGTTTTGATCACTCCCTTGATTTGTTTTTGTTTATAGATGTCAGCACTGTAATTGTCATCCTGCAGGAGCCATTAGTGGGACTTGTCATCTTGTTACTGGACAGTGTGTTTGTAAACAATTTGTAAGTGGCTTGAAATGTGGCAACTGTGTTCCCGATGCTAGTAATTTGGATGTCCACAACCTATTTGGCTGCAGTAAAAGTAAGTGCATGTTAGGTCTTAAAAGCATGTCTTTCAAATTAATGATTTTTTAATTGATTTAGTGAGTATTAAATTAGATCACCAGTACTAAAACTGGGTTTGACTTTTGGGTTTGACAAAATATTGCACTTAATAAGAAAATAAAAATTTTAAGTTGTCTTCAGGTCAATGTTCTTAAAAGGGTTTTGAGGACATAATGCCATGAAATGCTGAACTGTGGAAAGAGCCTCAAATAATTCTGAAAAAGTTGGTACATTTTTGTGACACACTGTACTGCCATACGCAGTTAACAGCTCAATCTTAGAAACTGTATAACCAGTTACTGATTTTGATGCTAATTGGTCATTTCTGTCACCAGGCCTAATTAATAATGGCCAGACTGGTCTTATTGTGAGAGTTAGCTCAGGTAGCCATGTGCTATGCTATGCAACAGCAGAGTTAGACGTGCCCAAGTAATCTCTGGAGTATGTTTCTGGATCCTCCTTCAGCAATATATTTCTTTGTATTTTTGCATAGATATTTAACTGACATTGATCATTGTGATACGTGCACACTGTAGCTTTGCAAGCAGAGATGTACATGCACAAGAGTTTGTTTACAAGGACAGACAGCTCTCACTTTGATTCCAGTTTGTATTTCATTTTAAATTGTTTTACATTTCAAATAATATGCATTGTGCAGTGCTCTAAATGGGTTAGAATGGAGAGAATGATTTGTTTCCAAAGATTATTTTTTTCTCAAATTTTGGAAGTGCTTAGACACATTTTTTTGTTTTTCCCCATACACTTCTGTAGAAGGCATAATATCTACTCATTGTGCAGATAGTTGATTGGCTTGTTGTTTCTTTAAAAAAATTAGGATGTTTCAACTGAATGTATAATAATAATAATAATACATGGCATTTTTATGATGCTGTTCATCTCCAAAGTGCTTTACAAACATAAACCAACCTACTTATTTATGTTGGGATCTACATCGGATAAAGGTCAATGGCAATTCAACTATAAAATTGATTAATAATAATATGACATAGATAAATAATATCATAGATTTTAGTTAGAAAAAAATGCATCAGGCAGTATTCTAAATGACAAGCGGAGTCCTCTTCTGGACATAAATGATATAGCAATTGTAGTCTTTCGGTTATTCATACCAAAATACTTCAACTTGTTGCACAGATATGGAGCTCTGCATAGCTTGATATTTGTGGTTATTTTAATTGCAGCACAGTGTTTTGTTAATACATATCATCACTGGTTATAAGTCTTTGCCAAGGCATGCAAGCATAAGTTACAGTCCTTGTCCAATTAAAATTCTTTAAGGAAAAGACCTACTTTCCATTTTCCTGCCCAACAATATCTTAGATGCTCCATAAAAAACCCTAAAATACAATATTTTGCTTACATATCTAAACTGGAAAACAGCAAACACTTGAGAGCAATATACAATAGTGTGAGACTGAAAATGGAGAATGAAGGTCATGCTAGTAAATTTTTATGATTCCTCGGGTCTTGTAAGCATGTATTACATAGAGAGAAACTTTCCAAAATGAAAAAGGGATTTAGGAGCACTTTGATTCTCAAACTTTACTCCTGTAGACACTGTAGCATATGCTTGCTTCCTAACTCAAATGAACTCAGAAACTCTAGATTGGCAGCAAACAACCTATGCTTTCTAATGGGAGATGATGATTGTGCTCTTTTCAATGAATATTTGAAATATTTTCTGCTGAAAATTTTCTCATTCTTGACTGAGAGACTGCAGTAGAAGCATGGTGTTTTGTTATCTTACTCTAAATACAGAGCTTTAACTCACACTTTAGATTTGTGTTAATAATGCAGATGTAACGTGACCTGCTGATGTTGGTGTAAATCTCTACATCTATCACCTGTGTGACTTGAGGTCCTCAGGTTATTTTTCTGTCTGCAACATCACTCTTTACTTCTTGTCTCCTGTTAGCTTGGCTGAACAGATTTTGACAATTAACTTTTGGTGAATTATGTACATTAAGCCATATAATGAAGATGATGATTGTTTATAAATGGAAGGAGAAAAAAAATTAATGAAAAGCCACATATTTTTGATATTACTATTTTCTTACAATGCTTAATGTAAGTGAGAAAAGCTTACTGTGTGGTTCTGGCTCCTGGTACCTTGCTCTCTATGCTGATCTCTGTACTGAAGATGTTTTCCTCTAGATCCACACTTGTTTTTCCCTTCTTTGGTAGAGAGGGTAGGGAAATGGCACAATCTGCCTTTGAGTCAAGCGATAGCAATTACCAGCTGCCAAAACAGACCAGTCCTGTTTTGTGCTAATGCAAGGTGTACTGAGGGTCAGAGTGCAGTGCTTTCCTTAGTGTAACAGGCTGGCTGGAGATCTCATAGCAGGATGTGGACTTAGGTTCTAACTTAAATAATGACATAAAGATAGAATGATACGTTCATTTAGGTTGGAAAATACCTTTAATATAATTGAATCCAACTGTAAAACTGTATGTTTATGTGCATATATTTGTGTATATGTGCCTATCTATGCATATAAAGTTTATTTTCTGAGTAATAACCATTATCTTAGAAAGGACCATGATCATGCAGTTGGATTACAAAAGAGACATAGACTTTGCTCTTTCTGAAAATGTGACACTTTTGGCTTGTGAATTTCAGGTTTGTCTTTTGCTTTATTGATACTAGTGCAATTAAATAGCACATTTTCCGAAGTTAATGAAGGTGATAGCAGAGTAGTATTTTGGTAAATAAGAATCTAAAGCTGATTTCTTAAAATGTTAGACACCTCGCTCTCATTGATTTAAATTTCATTGGAAACAAATGACAGTGAATTGCCTAAATAACCTTTCAAAGTTTGCCTGTTTCTTTTTTTGTCAGTTAATTAAGTAAGCTTATTGTAACACTTCAGTAAAATTTCTAGTTAGTCGTACTTTCCATTTCTATTCTATTAGAGGAAGTTATGCCTGGCCTATGCTAAAATAGAATGAATCCTCATAAAAACAAATTAGAATTGAACTATAGACTTCAATAATGTTATCAGATAAACATGTTCCTGTTTTTATAGAAGACTTGAAATAAAATAAAAATAGTTTAAAAAAGTGTTTGGAAAACTGTGGTGCTTTAATTTGGGGGGGAAGGGAGATTAAGTTTATTAGGCATTTGTTTAAATGTATAAATTTGTTTAATGTACTTGGATAAAAAGCTTTGTTGGAGAGCATTTGGATGGATCATTTTAGTCTATTGATGTCTTGCCTGAGTGACTGTATGTTTACTTGATGGTTTTTCTTTGAAGAAAACGCAGCAGCTTCTTTGAATTTTTATTTAATTTTGCGCGATTAGTGATTACCTTCCTTTTTACATTCTCTGTTTTTGTATATGTTTAGCTCCATTCCAGCAACCTCCTCCTACTGGGGAAGTTCTCAATTCCTCCGTTATCAGTCTTTCATGGAGTTCCCCTGACTCTCCAAATTCGAACAGGCTTACTTACCAGCTGTATAGGGATGAGGCTGAAATTTATACAACTGAAGACTACTACCCTTATAGTAAGTATTTATAGGAAGATGAGATCAAAGATTTTGTGGTTATGTGTGTCTGTACATGTGTGTATATGTGTGTGTGTGTGTGTGTATATGTATATATATATATATGTCTGTATGTGCATTTTTTCTTTATTTTTTTCTCACTTCTGTCATTATCTGTGATTTTTGGATATATTATTCTGTTTTCCTTTAGTGAACTACTGTTCTATATTATTAGTTTTGTTTGAAAGAAATGAATACTACAGTCTAAAATCTGCCAAACCGGGTCACCGAAAATGGCTGATAGTTTTTTACTTTTAAATCTGAAAAACTTTAATTGACTCACCAAAAGCATTCCCTCCAAATATACGCAGACTCCTAAATCTAAGAGGCAAAGTCCCAGAGAAAGGAATAGGGTGGATGGGAGAGACCATAACAGGCTTAAACTTGCTTTTTTCATCCTCCTGGTTTTAAACTGTTAACAGATTAGAAAGCTTTTTGTGGTCTCTAACTTTTAGCACCTTTTGTTAAGCTATCAGTGTAGCTCCTGATCTGCCTTTAGCAGCACCACTTCTCTCATGTTGAGGCTTGCAAAGGGATCCTCAGAAGGCAGTCCTCAAGGATTCAGCACTCTGCCCTAGCTGGAAAGGCCATTTTATGCTAGTGTTGATACTCTTATCTAAGTAAAGGAGATGGATTTTGATCCTGGTTTTATGTATATATGGCACACAAGTTTGTTTTGTTTTGTTTTGTTTTAAGATGACAGATATGGTTTAATACCACTAAGGTTTGATTTCCATTCTAGCAGCATCTTTAGTCTGTTGCATTTTGATACCAATGCAGCATGAATATTTTGCAGAAGTTGCATCTTTCTAGTTATTGACATGTACCAAAAAAAGGACTATTATTCAGTGGAAGCACATATCCTTTGGAACAAACCTAGCATTTTACTCTTCCGGCACATACTGCTGTGTTGATTTGATTACTGCATGGCTTATGCTGTGAATTTGCACACTCTGAAGTATATACCATGAGGAAAGGTATACAACCCTATGTAAGCATGAGATTAAGAAGAGAAAGAAGGAAACATTGCAAATAATTTGGAGAGCTAATAGAAAACATGCCAATTCCTTAATTTTATTTAAAAGCCTAACTTTAATAAAAATATGAATTAATTTCAATAGGAAAGCTGTTCTACTTTGTTGTCATAAATTTGTGCTCTGTTATTTGAAACTCATAGTGCATTGTTAAGAATGTTATTTCATGACAGTGAAAAAGCATTACATGTATTTTGCTGGATAATGTGACATTGGCATGTTTCTGTTTTACAAAACATTATTTGGTAAAAACTTACATTTGGTTTCAAAGGACGTTTTTGACATTTCCTGGCAATCCCCCTAATTAATGCTGTGAAATCAGCTGCTGGTGCTTGAATATCAAGAATACATTGTTAATGCTGTCAGAACTTTTTTCTCAGAATAGTGTGGAATTTTTAATGCCTATGAAATGTCCTGAGAGTGCAACTGGATGAACATTATCTTATGACTAAATGAGAGTTTTATAGAAACATCCACTTTCCCAAGGAAAATTAAGATTAATCTTCTAAATCAGCCTGGTGATCTGACTGATAGTATTGCAGAATGCCCAATTAAAACAATGTTTTCCTAACTGCTCTGGGAAACCGGAGGCTCAAGAGATACCAATCCTTTTCTTGAGGATAAAGTGAAAGTAACCTCATCTAGGTGTTCCTGCTCCGTCAGGGGGATTGGACTAGATGATCTTTTGAGGTCCCTTCCAATCCCTAACGTTCTGTGATTCTGTGTAAATACTTGCTCTAAAATGTGTAAAAAAACCCCAAACTTACTTACGATTCTAACTAAATCACACTGTTTCTAAGTATTTATAAATGTAGCTAAATACATGGTTCTTACTCCTAATGCACAAGGATGTTGCGATAACCATTGCTGTCACTGGCAGAACTGTTCTCCAGCCTGTCCTGAAGTACTAGGGTTTGAAAGGCATGAAGATGAGATTACCCAGTCTCCTTATTGCAATAAGTTTGTGATTGCTATGGGTAGTTGGAGCACTGTAAGCAATTACTAGGCTGTCACTGCTGCTTTTGTACTACAACGTCAAGGCTTGAATATCTAGCAATACAAATAATTTCGTGGTCCTCCTCTTTAAGTTGTACTCAGAGCTGTCTTGCCAGTGCAGACATAAACAGAGGACTCAGAAATAGCTGTGTTCTTTCCAGTTCCTTTTGAAAAGTTTAAGAGTATCCATGCTCTGGCATGTAATGTATTACTCAATGTTCACTATTTCTTAAGGCAAATGTATGTATGGTGTATGATGTATGCTGCTATGGTTATATATAAATTCATGTCATGCTCTGATGACTAGGATGTGTAACTGCTTGTGGTATATCAGGAGCTATTCATGATCATGGTTGCTAAAAAGCTGTCTAGAATAATGGAAACTAGCGGGTGAGGAAGGTAAATATAGGCTTTAAATATACCTGTTTAATAATCATTTGAATTTCCGTTTCACTTTTCATCCAAGATCAGATGCTTTTCAAATGAACTATTAAGCACTATTTTAGAAAAGAGGAAGGGAAAGCACAGAAAGGTGAAATATTTGGCCTTATGCTATGAAATGAATCAAAACCAAAGGTGTGATAATTTACAGAATAGTTTTTTTGGGTTTGGGTTTGTTTTGGTTTTGGTTTTTTAAGATCAAATCCACTAATATCAATGCTGATTTACATTTGAAATAATTATTTCTAAGCAAAGGAGGAATAAGAAGATAATTGTATTAATCTTGTTCATAATTAAAACAGGAACTAGGAGAAATTCAGTGGGAAAATAGTTTCTCTAGTGATGCCAATGTGCAGTGGAAGATACTAAGAGAATAAAGGGGAGGAATTTTTCCCTGTTTTAAAAAAACAACTTACTTTGAGGAGTTATGATGTTCATAATGATCTCAAGAAGAGCATGCAAATTAGCATAAATATCTTACAGCTTCTATTTAGGGCTGGGAGTTGTGCAAACTGAGATTATTTTTAATATGTTAGACTGATACAATTTTCTTCTCGCCTGTTTGCTTTAGGTGTTCAGACCTTCACTGATACCATGCTGTCTGCATATACCTTCTATTCCTATTACATCCAAGCCAGCAACATTCATGGTTTTACTAGAAGTGCCTCAGTGACATACAGAACAAAATCTGGGACGCCTACAGGAAACTTGCATCTAAATCCCATCTTCCCTGTTAGTCACCACTCTGTTTTACTTTTCTGGACAAGCCTCTCCAATGACTCTGGGCCCATAGAGAAATACATTTTGACATGCACTAGCCTAGTTGATCTTCAGCCTTGTGGTCAGTATGAAGGCTTAAAGACTTCAGCAATTATTTGGAATCTCATTCCATTTACAAAGTATGTTTTTTCTGTACAAGCTTGTACTAGCGGAGGCTGCTTAAAGAGCCAGCCAGTAACAGTAATTACTGCACAAGCCCCTCCAGAAGGGCTACGCCCACCGGTGATAGAAACCATCAGCTCTACAGAACTGGCTGTGGAATGGTCACCACCTGAGAAACCAAATGGTAGGACATTGTATTTACTTTTGGAAGTCAGAGTTTTTGCAAAGAAAAAGCAGAATTTTCTCAAATTTGCTTAGAATATCCCTATCCATGTGACATAAACTGAGGATGGAGTAAGGCATTTACTTAGTTTGCCTGTCTGCCACTAAATGTATTCTCTGAGACTGCATTTTATTCTTTTGGAGTCCAAAACCCCAACTGTATATGTTTGATCCAGGATGTAGCCCTTAGTGGCATCTGCTGCAGCAAAAATCACATTTATAATTAAGCATTTACAGTAAAATTAATTTTTTTCCTAATTTGCCAGATCGCCTAGTTCAGGCAGATGTGGTGATATTGCCTTACAAAGAACAAATAAGCAGATAACAGTTAAGGAAAATAAATCTAAGAATTAACAGAGAAGTCTGTTTTTAAAACCATCCGTCATGTGTAGTAACTAATTGTATTACCAGTATAACTTTGTTAGGGATTAGGCAATTGCCAAGAGTTGCTGGTCTAACTTGTGTAATAATATTTTAGGTTTTTGAAACTGAGAATGCAGCTGTTGTAGGATACTTTTATGATGCCACAGATTTTAATGATAAACAATTTATCTTTTAATATATGTGCAATGGAGCTTTGTGAACTTGCACTTACATGTACAAATATTTGTGCATGGGAAAACAAGCATTTTGATCTGTTCACAAAATGGGCATCTGTGTATGGTGAGCTCAGCTTTCACTTTGAATATCTTATTTGCCAGCTATTACCAGATTAGACAGGAAGGATGCCTGCACAAGAATGTATTTAGAAGGACAGATCATGATAGCTGCTGTTAGTACTTGTCCCTTAACCTGTAGTATATGCTCTTCATAGTTTACTTCGTAGCCATTACATGGATATAGCTGCCAGCACAGGCAGATTTAAGCAATGCTCTTATATTTCTTTTGATATCTGGTCAGATTTCCTGGTCTTTCCAAATACAAAGAGAGAAGCTTTTTCTCTCAAGCCAACTCTCCAGTTCTGTACATGAGTAAAGCCCCAAATGTATACGTTATATGGCAATTAACTGTCTCCTGGCTCTGCTATGTGTCTCATCTTTTCCATTTGGGAATCTCCAGTCAGCTTGCTTACACTCTGTTCCTACAGTTAAACTACTTCCAGGATCCAGCCTAGATCATGTATTGCTTCATACCACAATACTGAAGGGGTTTTTTGTTTGTTTTTTTTTGGTGAGTTTTTCATTTGTTTGGTTTGGTTTTTGTTTTCCAAAGTGGTCAGACCCTCCTGTGTACATAATAGATTTATGTAGATGAAAAACTGAGACACACATATCTTTTATCCAGTAGTATGTTCTAAAAGGTTAGCATTAAATTATCATTCAAAAGTTCCCTACCCATTCTGTAAAAAAGAATTTAAAAAATTAAAATGTAAATATCCCTTCAAAAATAAGAGGCCTGAAGTAATTTCCAGTAACATTTGATGAGAACTTTAGGATGTCACCTTCCAGTGAGGTTGGAAGAACTCATACTGTAGTCCAGCCATTTGTTTTCAAATCCTAAAATTGCATGGAGGGGAAAATAAGCAGTGTAATTAAAGAAATGCCAAAGTGAATGTTTGGATGAAAATAGCAGAAATTAGGAAAACTTCTTATGCTATATTTTCTATGATGTTGATTGACTGTTAGCTCATTAAATATATTGGTGTTGGTATTTTAGTAGAAGTCTAGAAATAATTTAAAAACACTAATTTTTATGGCTCTCTTTTTATTTCTGTAGGCATAATTATAAGATATGAACTTTACATGAGAAAAAAATTAAAACCAGATGAGAACTTTCTTCCTCCTGAAATTCGTATTTTCCAAAGCAGTGGATGGCTCAGTCCTCAACCAGTTGTGGAGTCTCCTAATGAAAATGCCCTGGCTCCACCACAGACCAGTACCACAGTCACTGATCTGGAGCCATTCACAGAGTATGAATTTCATGTGCTAGCAGTAAACATGGCAGGTAGCATATCTTCAGACTGGGTATCAGGACAAACAGGAGAGGCTGGTAAGTATTGTTTTGAATTAGTTTGATACAAATGAAAGGAAAAACTAAATTAGAATGCATGGTCCAAATAGGGACAAATTACATTTTTTTAACTAATAAAGAAAGACCAGATTATCTTGGAACTTAGCATGTTAAGCAAAAACATCTTCATCAAGAAGAAAATAATCCCTGTCAATTAAACCAAAATTTGAAAACAGCAAGACTGCGAAATCTACCAAGCAGTGTTTGAATACTCCACTGTTTTCCCAGTTGTTATTTATACATTATTTAATGAAAAAGATTTATTTTGTCACAAATGTATTAATAGCTGGTGTGAACCAGGAATGTTGTCCAAGAAGTTACGTTATATTCAGAAAGGAGGTTCAAATGAGTTTTCCTGAACTGAGGCTTTAATTGTTTAGAAAGCTTTCTTTTTGAAGAACTTGAGGAGGTTACCATTTCAGGGGTATACCGCTTGAAACTTTTCTCATGCTTTTTTGAAAGCCAAGTGTCATCATATTGACCATTTTATAAAAAAGTTTAACCAGTTCACAATGGCTCTTATTGTGGCCCTTCTGTTCAGTTTTTTGAAAGGGCTTGCCACTTGACATATTTGAAATATCAGCTATTTATTTCGAGGCTTTCATTAGAAATCTAAGTTTTTTAGGCTGATAGAGCCCATGTTTTGCAATTAAACATCTCTGTTACCTCACTGATGCTTTTGTTTGCTGTTAGCTTGAAAAATCATGTCATCAGTCATCTGCTCCTGCAAAATAGCAGGCTAAACTAATTCCCCTTTCACAATGAGTCTTTGTGCTTATCTGTTCTTAAATACTATATGTTATAAAAGTGTTAAATTGTATTTGGGAAGAGGTCCATTAGTGTGGTTGTTTGTACATAGCAGAAGTGCTATGAGTTGGTATCCTATTATTACAGAGTAATCAGGTGGGGATTTAACTGCAGTGCAAACAATCCTTTTACAGATTTACTATGGAAGACAAGGGAACTGTTTTGTAAGAAGTGAGAGACATGTTAATTTCAAACTGGCCTAGCAAACAAAATTGCTTTTAAGATGCTAAAGTATTGAACACTTTTTGCTTTTATCAGTTTTTTCCCAGGTTGCATGAAGTTCTTTCTCAAGTCTTTTTCATTTGTATGTACTTTTCTACCTGCTACGGGGTAGTGCTGATTAGTATTTCTTTGAAGGGATAGGCGGAGTTTTATTCTGCATTCATAGCCAGAGTATAAAAACAGGAGAATGATGTATAAGGTACTTTTTATGTGCCATCAAAATAATCTGAAAATTCTGGTTAGACTTAAAAAGAAGGTTAAAAAAAGAAAAAGACTGCCTGAAATAGTGTTTTACAAATACAGTGAGAAAGCTTGCATGACACACATTGCTCACTTATTTAATGAATGTTATTGTATTAATTTGATTTTAGCCCCAGTGTTCATGCCATCTCCATCAGTATTCCCTCTTTCATCATATTCCCTCAATGTGTCATGGGAAAAACCTGAAGATAATTTAGCAAGAGGAGAAGTGATGGGATACAGCATCAGTTTGATGACAGAACAAAGGTTCTTGCCACCTTTTTCTGAGGTATTGTTGTTAGTTACATTAAGTTTTTCCTAATTGTTAATAGTAAAACTAATAAAGTCTGACATCCTACTTGACATTGTGATTAATTTTTTCCCTTATTTGCGATATATCCTCTGATCTAACTCTTTTGCCCACCAGTTTATCTTGAGTGCTCTGTAACGTTATAATCTACTTTCAGGTTTTAAGTTGTATTCCTGAGCTGACTTGTATTCAGTAGCAGGTGAGACTCAGAATCAGGAGAGCTGAGATTAACAACATTTAAATGGCCTTGGTCTCTGCATGTTCTGATTCTCTATTATTGCTATATATTTGCTGATAGGCTTAAAGCTATATTGTTTTGTAGGAATCTGCATTTTCATTAAGAAGGTAACAGTCTGGCTTCCTGGATAATGGACAAATCTTTGAAGTGGGAAAGCACTAAAATAGCAGAAAATCAACTTTGTAACTTCTAAATATGTTTTAAAATACTATTATATTTTATGAGTGACTCGGTTTGGCAGACAAATACCACGGAAGTAGTAGTAAGCTAAAAGCTTAGGAATGAACAAAGAAGCAGGATCGATAATCAGAATGTGCGAGTGTATCTGGTGCTCTGACATTGTATTTCTCATTTCAGAGCTGATTTTGTCTTTCAGTGGTACCACAGATGGGCCTCAGTTTGTCTGTGAAGTGGGGATACTATTGCTCCTGGGGCTGCTGTAAATTGCTTATAAAGTGCAACAGTTTATTCAGTTCTATTCTCTCTGATAGCTTAGAGTTTAAGTAAAGCAGATTCAAATGTCTGTAGGTTTTAGTTATTCTAGTTGTTATGCGTGCTAATCGTCACTCATTCAATGGTGGTCAGATTTCACAGCTTAATAGTGCCATCTTTGTCTTCTGGATTGCAGCTGCGCTGTTTGTAGTGATAACTCCACCACCACACAGTTTTATGAGGCAGTAACTTTGTTTCCTCATTTATCCACTCAGGAACTGGCTTATTACCTCATAAAACAGTGTGATGAGAAGTATTACCACCTAAATACAAGCTTGTTCAGATTCTCCAAAATAATCCTCTCCCTCAGCTGGTCTTTGCAGGCTTTTCCACATCTAAATGAAGGAATCTGCAAATTCATAGACAAGTTTCTTATTAGTGAACATGTCATGAATTAATAGGAATGTAAATGTTATTAACCAACTGTCGTCTTCCAATCTGTTTGCTTTACAGGTTTTGCATATAGCAGAGGCTCGTGAGCTATTTTATGTAGCAACCGGATTAAAACCTTACAGGACGTACAACTTTACTGTTACTCTCTGCAATCAAATTGGTTGTGTAACCAGTGAGCCAGGCGTGGGGCAAACCTTGGCAGCTGGTAAGGAAACAATCTGTATCAGAGTGCAAAGCTGACACACAGTTTACTAATGAATACCATTAAGATGATCGTAGTTTGATGCACAGTGACAGGGGTAGGTGTTATATTAATACAAAGTGACTTGCTTAATTATTATTTGTTTATCTTGACAGATTAAAATGAAAATGTTTTCAGTGAAGGTTTAAGGTACACTATTATGGCAATAGGATTTGTGTACTGCTCTCTCAATTGCAAGTTATGGTTATGTTTATTTTTGTTCCTGTTTATTTAAATGTTAACTGCATAAATGTTCTGAACCCATTCATTCATTTATGATCCTAAGAACCTGTTAATTTATTGGGGTTTTTTAGTGTGTGTGCAATGTTTGCAGAACAGGGCATTTAAAATGCACATGCTCTGCCAATGTCTTGCTTAACCCATGACGGGGGAGTTACACGGTGTTTGTATTAAACTCTAACATATGTACATAGTGTATTTGTGTGTCTAAATTTGAAGCAACATGCATGATTTGGGTCTGCTCTTTTGAAAATGTTTTGAAAATGTTTGTTTGTTGCTCTTCTCAGTGATGTCCAATGATAGGACCAAGGGGCAATGGGTGCATGCTGGAGCATAGGAGGTTCCATGTGCACATAAGGAAAAACTTTTTTTACTGTGAGGGTGACAGAGCACTGGAACAGGCTGCCCAGAAAGGTTGTGGAGTCTCCTCTGGAGACATTCAAAACCCGCTTGGACACGTTCCTGTGTGACCTAGTCTGGGTGATCCTGCTCTGGCAGGGGGGTTGGACTGGATGGTCTTTTGAGGTCCCTCCCAGCTGCTAACATTCTGTGATTCTGTTTATTTAGCCCCTGAGATTTGAGGTTTTGCTTAATTGCTATGTAGACTCACACTTTCCTATGGAAACAATACTTAAGAAACTGCATATATGTGCCTGTGCACCTTTAATCAATTTTCAGTCTTTGAGTTTATTTCAAACACATATGTCAGGGACTTCAAAGGTACTAACTTTCTACAAATTTAGGAGAAAATAAGCATCAGTACAGAACAGAGAAGGAGAAGGCCTGTATTTGCTTTGAAGAAAAGACTGTTGTAAAGTCAGTTCTTAGACATCAGAGGACCAAGAGGGTTTTGAGAGAGAAATTCTTAGGAAAATCAGCTTCACAAGTCTATTCATGAATTAGTACAGCTCTTTAATACCATAAATATAAGCTCAAAATCTATACTATGTGACATACTGATGGTCACCTACAGAGAGCTGACTACTTAACATTGTGCTTTCCTTTTGTGCAGGTATTTAAAACACATTAATTACATTCACAATGTTAGCATTTTCAGTTAAGCAGTTAGGGATGTTGTCAAATGGATGCTGTGATGCTGGTCTTTGAAATTACCTCTTTTATGTAATTTGGTCTCCCATAGAAAGAAAACTGAAAGTTTCTGCTGTGCAGAATGTTTTCCTAGACTCTCTGGGCTGTGTTTGAGTTGCCTGAATTCCATCAAAGCTCCTCTGCATAATCAATGAAGAGACATTGGAGCTTCCAAACAGGAAATAAGGAGATGCCCAGAGTCAGTAAATAGGAAGCTTTATATACATGAACTGAAGTGGAATTTAAGCTGTCCAGTCTGTCATCTGTTCTTCATCTGTCTCTATGTAATTGCCTTTCCATTTGTTTCCAAGTGGAAGATAGATACTTTACTCCTTGATTCAGCATTTCGTCTATGTTTCAGTGGGCAAAGATTCTATAAGCCTTCTCTCTTGCTGAATTGCTTATTTCAAAATTTACTTCATTTTCTCATACTGCCACCTCTTAAACTTTCAAGTTGGCCATCTACAGAGCCTCCTACTTGTATGAGTATGACTTTATCCCATTCCCATGCAAGGAACAGAATTCCAGTCTGTGCCGATAACCATGGAAACAAATACGGCCTAAACAGCACGTCTTATTACTACAAATGATCCAACTTTGCACTTATAAATTTATTAAAAGATTCAGAAAAAATAGCTTAGTTATGCTTGACAGCTTGTTTATGACCATCTTCCCCCTGGTTGTGTTAGAGACCTATCACATTAGAGAAGACAGGAGAATGCAAAATAGAGTAACAGGCAATGTTCCAATTTATTAGCTGTTTTGCAGTGTAGCATTTTCCTACTTACATTTGTAAGCCTTGAGAGCAAAGAGTCAGTCCTCTATTGGGTTCCTTTTATGGTTTTAAAGCTTGTTAATGCAATGCCTTAAATTTTTACAAACTAAAGAGTAAAACACTTAAATTCTGCATGCAATTTCATCTTTCATTGTTCACATTTTTAATTTCTGGAGAAAATTGTTTAATAATCCCCATCCAGGTTTATTTTGGTGTGTGTTCTATTTTATACAGTTTTATGAAACTATATTTCCAAATAAATTAAAAAATCCCCACTACTTATGTGATGATCAAAGCAAGTTCGAACTTGGAACAAAGTTAGGAGACACCAGTTCCATCATCTGTAAAAATAAATCATCAAGTCTTAGTCCATTATTATCCTTTACTGTCACTGAATGGTGCAAAATGAAATTAAAATTGCTTTTCTAGGACTGTTGAGGAGTTCTGTTTCTTGAAGGAATGTCTCCCTGGCACAGGGACAACCTCCCTGGCTGGATGCCAGTCCCTCTCCATGGCCTGGCAAAGGGAGCTTTTTTGAGGAAGTCTCGACTGAAATGTGCTCCAGCATGATGATCCCTTTGCATCGTAACACAATCCAGGAGCTTTGAATTGTGTTCCAAGTTGGGCTAGAGGTTATACTAAATTAGACTAATTCTTCTCTTCTGATCCTGAGAATGGTAATGGAAAACCATCTCTACTCCGTCCATGTGTGGAGTATACTAATTTATCATGTGGAGCATTTAAATCAATGGGTACCTTGATGACTGTGATTTTGGCGTGTCCAACTGATGTGTAGTACCAAGGAGCTTGCTTTTGGAATTGCCAATGCCTTCTAAAATTTTTCACTAGAGGTCTCAAGTAATTTTTAAGCTTTGTTCATATCCATTAGGTTAATTTGAAGACTAGATACAAGATACTTGTCAAAATCTATCATATCTCATGAGTAGCTTTGCAAGAGGATAGTGAAAGAAAACTAAATTCAGCTATATGTCCTTGCATCTGTCAGACTGGCAAAAAATCTCATCCTCACCAATATACACATCCACAATATTTGTAAATGGTAATAAAAGAAGACAATTGAGCCAGAAGAATGTGAAGAGAGAGAGTGAGGAAGCAAATAAATAGAATTAATAAGAATTGACTTATTTTATAAAAAACCTGAGTGTAAGCTGTCACAAATGCATATGAAACCAGGAAGAAGAAGAAGTGTGATAAATAAGATAGAAAGATTAGGGGTGATAAAAATGCAGGGGAGGCTGAAGTTAGATATCAGGAGGAATTTCTTTACTGAAGAAACTTTACTTTACGCACTGGAACAGGCTGCCCAGGGAGGTGGTTGCATCACCATCCCTGGAGGTGTTTAAAAGATGAGTAGATGGTAGTAGTGGTGGACTTAGCAGAGCTGGATCGGTGGTTGGACTCAGTGATCTCAAAGGTCTTTTCCAGCTGAAACCATTCTATGATTCTATGAAATAAAAGAACTTGCACCGGTATGCTTGATGCATGACCAACTCCAAGAATGGTAAAAAGTGTTGAAAGTCTATGTTACATGACTTTTTGTCATGTGTTGGGATGAAAGACCAAAACAAGCATGTCAAGGTAATGGAAGAAGAGAATTAACCCATGTCTGTTACTCAGAGAAGGTGATTGGACAGAAATAGAACCTCAGTTTGGTATGTTCAGATACAAATACACAGATTGTTGGCATGTAAAGATTCAAATAATTAAAAAGTAATTTTTCAATCAGTAGTTTAAACATTAAACTAAGGATATGTGTTCACAATCCATGTAGTATTTTAAATACTCTTTATACACTCCAATATTGTGCACATGCTATTGAAAACCTTGACTGATAGATGATGAAAGTTCATTTTTAATACTTCATTTGAAACTTTGAAATACAGTTTGAGCTTTGTTTTTGTGTTTTCTAACCCAAGATCATCAAGTGGAACTGCACTTATGTCTCTGACAGCAATACTTGATAGTAATTATACATATTTTTTTCTCAACACCTAGAGCCACATTTTACTTTATTCCTTTCTCTGGGTTCTGCTGAGTTCATATTCCTATTTATGATTGAGAAAGGCATTCAGCTTGTTGTTGCTATCAGGTCTTTGGCTATATTTTAATTTTCAAAAGTGTTTTTTGCTGTGTGGTTTTATCTCACGTAGGATTCTGAGCTGATACCTTTGAATCTATAGAACTGTACTAGCTGGTACCAGTGAAAGACCCCATTCTTTAAAGGGATTTCTTTTGACAATGTGTTTGCATAAAATTATAAATTACTTGCATTATTATTTGCAGCATCTGCCAAGACAAAACATGCAAGTTTTCCATTTTTTTTCAGACAGAGAAACATCTTTTTTGTTACTGTTGTTCCCCAGCAGATTCTGACATTTCAACAGGATGGAATTAACCATGTGAATGCTTGGACTAGTACAACTGGTTATCCTACCCACCTCAAATCAGATAGTCAAAGGGTGCCTTAAACAATCTATACAGTGATGTTTCATTAACTACTGTGTGACTGAGCTTATTTCTTGTAATTAAGTTTGTCTTTCCTTTGCCCTTCCTATTTTTTTTTTAAACTTCATTTAAAAAGCATTTTTTAAGAGGGACCTAAGTATGGCTTTGTGATTACTGCCATTTAGCCCAGCACATTGTATTCCTTATCCTTTGCTTTTGACGGCAATTACAGGGTTCAGAAGCTAATTTGTTGAAGATATTCTTCCAGCACCAGCTGCATCTGGCTTCTTGGCAGACTTCTCAGGCAGTTGTGTTGGTGGCTTTGGAGTTGCCCCTGGGTTTGCTGGGATAATGATGCTGATGGGCTTTCTGGGCTGTCTTACACTCCTTGATG